GTTATTAAATCGTCGATATAGCACAAAGTACAATCTAAGCCACATAGACAATTATTCATGTGGTGCTGATAAGTTCATGTAGCGAAGTTTTGGAGCATTTCAGTGTACTCATATAAGCTAAGGTAACAGCTATTTTGGGAATACCGTCAGTAGCTATAGACTATCTGGTGATACACGTGTAAATTTTTATCACATAATTTCTTACTTTCCGTTGGCTGATTCGATGGTTTCGTTTTAATTTCTTAACCCACGAATAGAAAGCTTGAAAATAAATACTTTGGAATTGACTTACAACAGACCAAGATTTTTGTTGCAAATTTCGTATTGCAATGACATATAAAGGACAATGAAAAACTACAAGGTCAATATCAGTAGACGATCTGGGAACAAAAAGTACGTATAAACTAATCTTCAAATTATAAACAATGATTAAACTAAATGATAACATTGTTCAGACAAAATGACGAGTAAAGTCATTCTAAAAAAATCGCCTTTCTTGCGCGAATCTATTGCGTAACATTAACATGCTCTGTGCCACGTATACCATTTATGGTATACATTAATCTTGATCTTCAAGCCAAGTGTATCATAAATGGTACACTAAGACATGTTTATTTAATGTGCTAAAAATATATTTTATGGCAAATTTAATTCTGTAAAATATATTTCCACTAAAAGAATAAAATATTATAAATAATCTAGTATAGAACAAAGTACTTAAATTTGATTAATTGTTATCTATATAATAATTAATAATTACATGTAATTGTTGACTTTTTTAATGCAAGAAATGTATAAAAACGACTTGTTTAGATTACAGAACATCACTAATCTTCTAGTTTTTGTCTTGACATGACTTGATTTTTAAGATGAACATGTCGTTCAAAAATATGACTGTTTCTGAGCCAATGTTTGCATCGCGTAAATGTTAGTCTGTTCTATTCTGTCTTGGAATATTTCTTCGGTAACAAGAAGTAAGTAAAAATCTTCTTTCCACAAATAATCCGATAATGTTATTCCAGGTGTACCTATGAATGATATAAGTGAAGGTTAATTTCCACTTGGATTTATTCATTCATCTGTTAAATTATCAGCAATATTTTGTGCTTCATCTTCACTTTCGCAACTATATACAATTCGGTGGCATTTCGATCTATGACGCGCGGTAACATTGCTTGTCTCATCAGATGATAATATAATATAAATCTGCGCGAACGTTTTATACTAAATGGGAGTTCTATTTCATTGGAAATAGAATTGGAACTATCTGTGTTTTATACTTTCATATTGCATATCATTAGGGAAAAAAATTGAAAGTTGAATCACTCGATCAAATAAAAAATTAAAAAATGCAAGAATAAATTAATGAAAGTTAATAATAGAGACTTGTTTCTCAACAGAAACAAATGAAAAACCAAAAATATTACCTCCATATGTTTACCTACTTACTTTCTTTTTTATTAAATATTTTATTTCCTTCGTTTTTTCTTAACAAATTCGAATATAGCGGGTTCTTTTTACTAATCGATAAGTCTCGAAATGACTGACTTTTACAATCGAACTGACTGCAGAACCACCAGGTTATGATAATTATTCTAAACAAGCTTATGGATTGATGATGCAAAGAAATATTGTGTGATAATATACCAATCTATAGTCAAAACATCAAATGGCCCGAACGACAAGTCGGGCAAAAACGGCTTGCCACGGAATGTGTTAATGAGAGGATACATTAATCCTTTCGCTACGGTAGCCCCGTCCGCCGAAGTACCGCCACTCAACGAAAACTCGCGCCGGAAATATGCACAGTGCGCGTGGTTTCTATATACATGTTGTTCTAAATCTTAAATAGGAACTGTGCTGTATAGAACATTCATTGCTCTAATATAATAAGTATATTTACATTTTTAATATGAAAGGACTTACAAAATTATTAAAATACAAAATACAAAATTATACGTAACATAGGTATTTATATAATTACAAAGCTTAACGATTAAATATTTAATATAATTAATAGCGACACGAAAATTATTAAAATATAATGTGTAAATATAATACGTAAAATATATGTAGAAAATATGTAACAAAATATGTAAATATGTAAAAAATATGTAAAAACTAATAATGTAATTCTGTGCAATTTATTTGGAAGCAAGGATTTATACAAAGGCCAACATCGCAATCTTTGCACTCATACCGCGAATCCGTTCTTTTATTATTTTTACTATAAATTATACACCTCCGTCTTCTGTTTTCAGCTTACAAAATGTGGGAAAATGCCTGTCAGTTAACCTCATCTGATTATCAGCGGGTCTGCCTTGACGTCCCATTGCATTGTGACGATACTTTTCGACTATCTGTTTTATCAGCATCAAATGAAATTTTGCCATCGATATAGTTTCTCTCCGATTGTGCTTGTACATACAATATGCATTCCACACACAGATGTTTATGAGGTGGAAGAAAAATTTCCGATACCACTTTAGCGGCTTCTGGATAATCTGTTCTCCTTCATATCTCGATACTGCTTCAAAATTTACAATATGTATAGTGGAAACCATATGGACTTCTTTTTTATCTATCCACTTCATCGCTAGCAAGTTTTTTGCTGCATGAAAACATGCCTCTCCTTTTTTCAATCTCTCTTCCATCGTTGGCATTCCTTGACGTCTTGTTTTTACAGTGCTGCATACATTCGTACAGTTATCGTGTAAAAAGTTAAATAATGCTGGACTTGAATAAAAATTGTCAGTGTATAGTGTGTGACCTTGGCCTAAGTATGGTGGCAAGAGTGATAAAACAATTGCACCTGATTTTCCAATTCCACTGATGTCACTTTCTGTAACAATTGACTTTCCTTCGTAAACTATAAGGTCTTGGACATAACCTGTTTTGCAATCACAGAGTATGTATGATTTTATTCCAAATCGATTCCTTTTCGAGGTAATGTACTGCTTGGAGGACAGGTCACCTTTGTATAACATCAAGCTTTCATCAATGCAAACTTTTTCATACGGATAAAATGTTTCGCAGAACGATTTTCGTAGCATGTTTATTATGTCACTTATTTTATATAGACGATTATCAGCGGGCTCTTGTTGATGGCTAAAATGTATCATCTGTAGTATCCAAAGATAACGATCTTTGGTCATTACTTCACTAAAAATACTACTGCGTAAGTATTTATCAATACTCCAATATTTGTGTAGTACTAGTTTTTTATTACGTGTCATGAGTAGTGACAACGCAAAGAAACAGTACATCTCCTCTAGTGTCGTGTTTTTTAGAGTGTCCATGTTGTTATTGCTCTTTTGAGGCGAGTAATAATTGGTCTCATCCACAATATATTTTACGAGCTCTTGATAAGAAGACAATTCGAAATAATCGATAATTTTTGACGATCTTCCTCAGTCCTGAATTTTCTGAAGAAAATTTATGAATACATGGTGCGAAATTTTTCGATGTCCAACTTATGTTGCACTTAGTGTCCTTTGTATTATCATCAATTAACTCTGCTTCTGATTCTGAAGTGCTGCATATATTATTTCTCCGTCATCTTTTACACCGATGGACATTATTTTCATTTTCAGAATTATTTACTTCAGTTTCAAACATAATACTATTTTTATGCTTTGTACTCATTCTGAAAGGGCCTAAACTATTTTTGTAAATATATTTTCAAACAAAACCCTAACCTGAAAATTCTAATTTTTAAGAGTTAAGAATTATACCTTAAGCCGATCTATTCCTAATTCCTGTAAAAACCAAATATGTAAAATCGTTTACTGCCGAATGGATTCCATAGAATATTTGGTATAAAACAGTAAACGATCGCCTTGATGTTTGTAGTTTATTGCGTAATACGTTTGGATGTGACTTCAACAAAGAGCAGTTTTAAAAAGTTCTACTAATTGATTAATCCATTATGTCAATAAAATCAACGGAAAATGCTCTGCCGATAACGAAAAATGTTGCCATCGACTATAGATGACACTTGTACAGATCATTTCGATGCCGCATATATACGGCGCTCGTACCCAGAAGTCGTGGTGTGGATGCCGCGTAGATGCGGCGCCCGTACCCACAGATCGTCGAGTGGATGCTGCATATATGTGGCGCTCGGAGCGCCATGGTTAATAGGTCGGTCAATGGTTTAGACATTTTTAAAAATCCCGGTATGAACCTACAGTAATATCCGGTGAGCCCTATAAATATTCTTGACCTACTGCGGTAGCGGAAATTTCTTAACCACGTCTAATTTCTTTGAATCCGATTTTACCATGCGTTCTCCAATAATGTGTTCTAAATATGCTACTTCCTTCTTCAAAAACTCACACTTGTCCGGATGCAGCTTGAAGTTAGTCGCCCTTAACCCTTTTATTAATCCTCTATGGACCGAATTTTTGTTTTAAATCCAAAAAAATTCTGGGAACAAAAAATCAGCAATTATAAACCTATTTATGCAAATGAAGAAAAAAAATTTCTGTTTAAACAATTTTATTTCAGTATATTCACTATGTGACTTTCAGGTCAAAACGGCCTATAATGTTCGCATTTCTGTGTTTGAAAACTCAAGTGTGGAATTCCACAAAATAGTTTGCACTTGGCGTCAAACATAAATATACATTACATTTGGGACATTTAATTTTGGGAACTCCTTTACATCCGGGCTCTTTGCAACGTCCTCTGTTATCCGAAAAAATTGGTCAATATGCCACTTCATCTTTTCGCACGTCTTTTACAGGTAGCGTTGTATTTGGTCATTTTTTTTTTTATTTTGCAATTGTTTATATACCTCATTTGAAGGAGGACGCCTCCTTTCCTTCTGGGTTTCTTTGTGTTTCTGACATAAACAAGATGCAATGTCAAGTTTAAATTTCAATAAACTATTCTGACGGCCGGGGCTTACAGAATGCGATGAGCAATCTTGCTTATATAAGAGCCAAGCATTGACCACCGTCAAATCTAAACATAATACGGTGGTACCACTTCTTTGATCAAATTTTTATTCGATACAACGCTATCAACGAATCAACTAAATCTACTCCATCCATTTGTTGGTATGTTTTCACTGTATTTGGTCGTTGTACATCGATCATTCTGTTTATTTTTTTGTCCCACCTTTTCACTATGTCTATTGCTTCAACTTCGCAAAACGTGCTCATCAAATGAACAGCCTTATTGTCGTACCACTTTACTGCATTTATGGTGACCCTATCAATAGATATAGAAAGAATCTCATAGCTTCCTCTGTCCTTAGTTTTCATGACTTTATCGAATGAAAATTCACTCGGTTTGACCGCACAGTTGCAACACTCTGAATTCCTAATTTTTCTAACTCAGTTACTAAAGGCAACGTTGAAAACCTATTGTCGAAACAAATTTTGTAAAATAATTGTTTGGGTATAATTTTTGCTAAACGTAATACGACATTACCACTACTTCCGACATTAGGTAATTCGGGATCATGTATCACTTTGCCGGTGTAAATTTCAAAATTATAAATGAGTCCTGATGAGTCGCACAGTAAAAAAGCTTTGTAGCCCCATTTTTTAGGTTTTTTGGGCATATAGTTTTTTAGCTTATGTCTTCCTTTGAACGGTATAATCTGCTCGTCAACACATACGTGTTCAGACATCGGAATGTGATTAAAATTTTTCACCAATTTATCCAGAATGGGTCTTATTTTTTGTAAACTATCGGTCACTTTTGCATTGTTTGTTGCATTGGCCTGTAACTTTCTACTAAAATGTATTTTTGATTTTATTTTTCTCCATCGCGTACGACTCATAGTAGACTCATTGGCAACAGCAGACATTTTTGTCTTTGAATTCCAATATAATTCAATTCTCGGTAATCCGTAAATGAATATAAAAGAACAGCAGCGAAAGAATTGTTGGATTTCATTCACTGAAACAGCAATGGGTTTTGCTGGATCACATTGCAGTGCATACATATTGGTATAGTCAACTATATTGCTTATAATTTCCTTATCAAATAGTTGTCGAAAATTGGTCATAGGAGAATGGAGTGCTTCAGGGACGTTAGGGCAATCTCCTTTCCAAGGGCGATAACAATTATTATTATTCGTCTGGGATAGTGGTTGCCAAACAATTTTTTGTGTTCCTGCATCTTCCTTATTTAACTAGGATTGAGTAGTAAATTCTTCATCACTATCAATAACATTTATTCGTCGTCGGGGAAATAATATTACATCCTCATCGGACTCAGAATCTAATAAGGAATCGTTGGACCTATTACCGCTAATGCGTCTAATTGTAATTCCTCTGTTATTTTTATGTGATTTTGTATTCATATTTTGGGTATATAATGTATAAATCTGAAAATAGGAGAAAGCACAAGCTTTATTCTAAATGTACCGAAATCTGCCTTAATAGCCCACTGTGACCTCAAAGTTGCAAAACTGTATCATAAATAAACAGTAACAAATTGAAAATTGAAATGCAAACAAATAGGTTGTTATTGATATACGAATCCAGAGCTATTATGTGCACTATTTTTAGTTTTGTAATCACTCACAGAAGCATAAATAATATCAAATGGTTTCGCTTATATTTACTGCGGACAGTTTGCACAGCATTTATTTTGTTATTTCAGGTTGATGAACCTAACAACGATCATAAATATTATATTGCTTGTCTTGACAACATTATAGAATTAAGATTTATGCGCCATCTCATGAAAAAAGCTATAATTATTTGGTAAAATCTCGATAAATTAAAATGTGACTTGAAAGTTACACGGGTTCATAAAGGGTTAATTTGTTAAATTTTATCTCGTGTTCTTGAAGTGATTTTGCATACAATACTATATCGTCCAGATAATTGAACATTTCATCGGCTTGGAGTCTTGTCAAAACGAGTTCTATAAGGCGTTAAAATGTGTCCGGAACATTCTTGAAGCCGACTAACATTCGCGCAAATTCGAAGGGGCCATGCAACTTCGAGAATGCTGTCTTGTGACTGTTGAATGCTGTTGTGTGTCGTTCAGATACATTTGGATTTAATGAAAACCCGATTTTAAGTCGAAAATTGAAAAATATTTTGCGTAGCCTAACTGATCTAATATTTCTATGATGCTTGACAGAAGATTGCCAATGGTTTTTTCGTTTAGCCCTCTGTAGTCAATTACCATCCTCCATGTTGGATTTCCCTTTGAGTCACACTCTTTGGAATCATCCAAATTGAAGAATGGTACGATGAAAGTGACGATTAAATAATTTCATACTCTAAATGTTCCTGTGTTTGTTTATTCATTTCGTCCCTGTGTACCGGTTGGAACCTATACTGTTTTACATTTATTGGAATTTCATTATCGTAATGATCCTGTAAGATAGTATCCGGATGTTCCATAATATTAGGCGTTTCTTATATATCTATCTCTACGAGCACCCGTCAAATTGACGGGTAAGCGAAAATACTCATTTTCTTTAAAAAATTGATGTCTTCAAGTTAAGTCTGAATTGATTAGGTTTTACGTTTAAATAAATTATTAATAAATCTTTTTTTTTTAATTATCACAGAAATGATAACAATAATATTAACGGTATTGAGTAATTATATTTATTAAGCACATTTTTTACAAATATGCTGAATTTTGTGTGTGCATTTTCCGCATACGATCTTTTTGTAATATATACAACAATTATTGCTTCTATTTTTTTTTGCAGTAATCCACTTGACAACTTTTTCACACTTTTAACGTTGAAGGTGATAGAAATGAAGCGTCTGCTCTTTAACAAATGTTCTTCTTGTCTTTTTCATGTAATTCCTCGGCTAAATAAAATATAAACTCTTTTCTGGATATTTTCGATCCGATGGACTCTTTATATAATATCCACGCGTTTATCGTTACGAAATCTGATATATTGAAAAAACTTGAAGGTGCCATTGGAAACTCTCTGCTTTCACACTATATTTGCGTGCTATCTGGTCAACGACGTGTACATCAAACTTTGTTTTATTATAAAAAGTAATAGTTTCTGGAACACGTTTATAATTGTTTTCTATTTGTACATTTGTATGTTTGATGCTTAGAAGAATGACTATTATCTTAGGTTTACTTTTATACACAGTAAGCGTTCAGTTTTCTGACTTATGTAAATGTGAGGAAAACAAAGTCATCTTGTCCTTTTTTTCCTTCGCTGGTTTTGGCAATTCTTTTTTATTAGGCCGAATAATCCCAACCAAAGTTGTTTTTTTGCAAGCAATTTTTTAGCTAGCAGGATGCTTGTAAAGAAATTATCAATTGTTATATTTCTGCCTTGTTTTAGATATGGTTCGGCTAATTTTAATATTACAAACTCGCCCAACGATTTTGAGCATCGAGTGTCATCTTTCCCCATGTAAGGGAAACCATTCAAAATATATTTTGTTTGGACGTCAACTGCTAACCAAAACTTAATGCCAAATTTATGAGGTTTATTTGGCATACATAGCGTAAACTTGCTTCAGACTTTCGTTGGAAATAATTGTTCATCTATCGATATGTTTTCATATGGCTTAAACAAGCCTAGCTATTGCTTATATATCTGTTCCATATTTCGGATATCAGTGCAAATTTATCTATTTGTAATCTTTCGGATTGTTGATTTTTCTTTTTGTCAAAGTGTATGAATCTCAGAATTTCTGTGAATTTATCTCTGCTTATTATGTTTGCAAAGAAAGCTGGTCCCTATTTTTTCAACCATAAATAAAAAGCTTTCAATGATCTCGCTTCATATGCGCCCCGGTCATATAGAATTTCTAAAAAACTACGTAACTCAGCAACTGTGATCGTCCAGTCTTTTTTCAAAACTCGATGTGCCTCCGTTTCAGTGCAATCTTTTATGTGTTCCATTATGTGTCTGTCAATTATTGATTCGAAAGCACTAGTTACACAACCCACCATAATATTTTTCTTGGCGTAGCCAATAGGCCCTGTGATATCCTTGAATATCATACGAACGGGCGTCCTACTTTCAGATCCGCCTGCTTTCAGTTTTGTCTACTGTGTCCCGTCAACTACAATTTCAATTTCACTCATTACATTTTGGGATGTGCTTGGGATACTCATCCTCTCATCCTCCAAGTCAAAACTAGAAAGAATACGCATTCTCTTCTTGTTACGACACACTTTCAAAAAGTTTTCCTCTTCACTATTCGAAGATACTTCTATCTCTCCATTTTCAATATATTTAAAACTTTCACTCTCATCTTCGCTTTGGTCTAATTCATACTGATCTTCTTCGGAAGTATCCTCAGAATAATCTTCATTGATATTAACAATTCTGTTTAATATTTTATTATATCTCCTGGATTTACTCCTGATAGAAAAGAAGGGGGATTGGTCAAAATAAAAAAATACTGTGCCCAAATTCAATTACCCTATTGTAAATACAATAAACGAAGACTGTCTACAATAAATGAACATTGTACACACTATCTTTGAAAAACATTCTTACTCGGTCACTGCAACAATTATACTGAACATTGCTTCTTGTTTTAAAGGTTTCTGCAGCGATAAGATAAGCAATTTCAGACAAAAAGACAAAGATGACGACAAAGACTAAAACTCAGACTATACAATCGGCTTTTCTCTTTTGTCAGCTAGCCAGTTAATTTGACGGGTTTCGTAGAAATAGGTATACTACATACAAATTTCAAAATTTATAAGACTTAGGAAAAAAATAATTGTGTCTATAAATTCTTTGGATGAAATGATTAATTTACGATGCAAAATGGTTAAAATTAATGTTATGGTTTCTTGGCTATTTCATTTCGATGTTTGTAATTCGTCAAATTGACGGGTCCCGTAAATCTAGTGTTAAACTTTCTCCTGCTAGATAAAACAGTCTGAGCTATCTGTCAAAAGCTTCAACACATTTTTTCCTTTCTTCCTCGTTTAAATGTTCCAAAAACAATAATGATTCTATTTAACCTGTCCTATCACTTTTATTAATTTCATTATTCTAAGGCTTATACTGATAATTCTAGTAATTATTAACGAAATGATCTTGAAGCTAGCTGCAATATTTTGGCATCCGAATTTTGATACACTGTAATTAATTTTCATATATTGTACATTCTAGTAATATCAGCGTTGGCATGACAATCTCATGATCCTCGTAGATAGTCGTAAAATATGCTCATCTTTGCTCATTTTTAATTAGCAAGTCTCTAGTATATATTTCTGGTAATGATTACAATCTTGGAATATATCCTTTCCTAACTTCTTTATTCTCTACGTGGCACCGAAATAAAATACTGTTCCTAGCGGCGATATGAATTAGTTCCCTATCAACGAATAATATTTCCTAACTCAAGAATTCGTCCTTTGGCGTAATTCACATTTGCACCGACTTCTTTTAGGGATTCACTTCAGAATTCCGTCCTGCTCTATGAGAAAAATCGATTCAACTAAATGAAAGCGGACTGGTTTCTCAAAAAGATTTATATTGAGCGAACTTTCCGTACAGATATGGCTACTTGTTATGCTATTTATTCTTATAGTCTTATTTTCGTTTTCATATCATAGTTACTGACTGCGTTATTACCAAAAATTATGCTGTTATTGACGCTTTATGCTATATTTAGTCGTTTAAATTAGATCATTAACTCTTTGCAGTCATATTAAATTTACATACATGGGTATCATATTGATCGGAATTAATTTTTGTTGAACGAGCAGTGATATATAATGTGCAAGATTATGAAGGATAAACAAATTTTAGATATATATTTACACAATAATATGTTTTAATGTTATGTTTTTATATAAAAATTATATTTTATAATTCTTCATTGTGTGGTATCTTTCAAAACAGTCTCCAACATGAAGTCCTGGTTTTCGACTACACGTGTCGCAAAAGTAATTAGTTTGGCATCTTCCGCTCTGGATTTTTCTGTTTGAACATACAGAACAATCTTTACTTTTTATGTTCTAACAATGTTACAATATATGTAGTTTGTCATTAAGCCTTTTCTCTTTATCTGAGGACGGTGGTCTTGCTGATTTTGAAGATGCTCTGTCACGAAAATCACCTACAAGTTTTTCCACCAACTTTCGGACAAACATAAAATATAACATACGCGTCTTATTTTCTCTTCTACCTGACACCTTATATAAGATGTAGCTATTGATTGCGCAAACTTCTTATCACCAGAATTTTCTCCACCAAACATTTTTCTCCACCATTTGCAAGATTTTCTCATAAAACAATATGAACCTGCTAATTGGTCGGCCTTATCGACACCTCCCATATTCATATTGTAATTTATAATAACATTTGGTTTGCTAATGTTGACGGTGCCACCT